CCATGACTACTCTCTGAATTCTCCTGGAGAGGAACAACTGAAGCCTCTTTTAGTACTGTGCCATCTATTCCTTCTATGTCAGAATATAGTAGGCCACAAGATACTATTAACTTTTGTCAAAATTTTTAGAGAGGTCCAGCTGTATGAGCATAGAAATCTTGCTTGTATCCATGGTCATAATAAAGGTAGCCTTTTAGTGCCACTACAGCTATTGTGTGTGCTGTGCCTAGTCTTAACCCTAAGCGAAAGGCATCCAGGATGTCTGCTGATGTCACATATTGCTGAAGCTTGGTAGTTACTACTTTCTCAATTATTTTGCCAAGGAATGGAAAGTTTGAGACGGGATGATAGTTGGAGAGGTCATCAGATCAAATGGCTTTCTTAGGACTGGGTGGACTATTGTGTTTTCAAAGGATTTTGCCAGGTGTGTTTCTCTGAAGAAGGCATTAATGATTTCCATTAGCCGTTGGCATAGCTGTTCTTCACTGGCTTTCTCTCACATGGAGGGGGGCATTTATACATTTCACAGGTTATGGCTCTGATATTTTTCAGGGGCTCTTGTGCTTTGGCCAGCATAATGAAATGGATGATGTGATCTGGTCAGGAATGGAATTTTACAGAATTCAGTGGCAACAGTTCCCTTCTTAAGCAACACAGAACATAACCCAATAATATCTCTAACACATACATTTTTAGTTCAAACTGTTTTCTTTTAACAGCTATAAAGCCTTTTTACTTAGTGGCAATGAGGACACCACTTATCTTAGTAATAATAAAGCAGTGCAAGCTACTCTAGTTAGTGTTGCAACATAGTTTCCATTGTAATTTTAAATTCCCCCAGCACCACCCTCTCAAAATAACTCCCGCAAGCTCCTAAACAACTGAATCATACTGGCTTCACAAGTACAATAGCTATATACAGACAGAGAGAGAGAAAAATTAAGGAATGCATAACTGAAGTAGAAATACATTTAATGAAGGATGAAGCATATTCAAACAAACAGTTGATGGGGACTTCCTCTGCATTTGGTTCAAGTTATAACTAAACTGGCGCAAACTTCCTATTTAATTCACCGTTTACAAAAAGCAAGCAGTAGAACTTTAACTGTGTGACTGGAACACAGATTGTAAAGTTTATGTCAAAGTGAAGAGTCCAACAATGAAAAGACGTCACCATCCTGACAGCAGGTTGATAGCAATGGTCCCTTTCTTTCCACATCAACAAATGTTTCCATATTAAACACCCCACCATCATGGCTTGCATCAATTGGCACAATTTTTGACAGCCTCAGAAGAAAAGTTGAAGACTGAATGGAAACAGAGAGCCCTCTACTTCCTCATTTAGAATGATGGCTCCTCTAGATCAGGATGAGCTACACACTGGCAGGGTAATAAAAGGAAGTCAGTACTCTATCTGTTCCTTTTTAAATGGTCAAGGGAGAAACAGAAGACTGGGGATTTCAAAACTGCTACTTTGTAATCTTTAAATGATACCATCTTAACTTTATAAAAAACAGCAACGCTCAAATGGATTAGTCAGTTCCTTATGGTCTGACTGCACACTGCAAAGTGTTTTATGATTGTATATTTAAATATGAGTCAAAGGTGCCAAGGGTTTTAGCTACATGTTTTTTAATTTTTTAGCTAAATCATAAATGAAAATGAAGACAAATTTAAAATATTCTTGTAACATCAGTTAAACTGAGTATTCTTTTATCACTTTCATTGTTTAAAATGAGGCACTCAAAGGCAGAACAGTAACTAATGGAAGTCTGCTCCGTCTGATTAATCCTGCTTTATATCTTTTAATGTTTCTTTTGCAAAAGCAAATAAAGATAGTTTTTTAAATAAATAGATGAAGAGTTCAGATTATACAATTAAAATGAGTGAGTGATGCTTGTTAAGCTAATAATGGCTATTGGTTAGTAACTTTAAACTGGTACTTGGAAGAATCTCTCAGGAAAAATGGACCAGCTACAATCAATATACCATCCCTGTATGTAATTTGCAGAGGGTTAAATAAAATACTTGAGGAAAATATCAGTTCAGTATCTTCGCTGTAGTTGTTAAAACAATTTGTTGGAAACACAGGCTGTCTTTTTTTTTTTTGCCAGCTGGACTTTTAATGGCCCGGTGATAGGTGCTGACCAGAGCCGCCAGGCTCACTTTTCGACCGGGCGTTCCGGTCGAAATCCAAACACCTGGCAACCCTAAATCAGGGCAATTATTTTTTATATTATAAGAAACTCAAACTATATGATGAATTTCCTCCAAACCTTACAGAAACATTCTATGTTGCTTTCAGAGTAAATCTGGCAATGTTCAGACCAAAACTAAGTTCAAAGTTGTTTTTTTGTATTTCTAGATGGGGACAAAGATAGCACAAGAGGATCTTCCTCTTCCCTATGTTCAGCAGCCTCAAACTTTCCCTCATTTTGTCAGAGATCTGCTGCCTTTGTGTGTGGGGGGGAGGGGGAGAAGGTTGGGATGTCAGAGTTTAGAGGGGGTAGTCAGCTACAATAAACTGGTTACAATCTTAACTATGGAGAAGTAGTATCCTTATGGTTACTATACTATCTACCTCAAATGTTAATAGATGGGGAAAAAAATCCATGACCATTCATTTCACAAACGCTATCAGCCAATCTGATAAAAGATATTTGTTCTATGTGCCAATAGCTCATTGTTTTCACTCCTATTACACATAGCTGTTCATAGCTACGAATCTGCACTCTCAGTTGGGCTTCATGGGACCATAGTTTAAATACATCTGTAAGACAACCAGGAAATGCCTGAGATGTGTATAAATGTACACACATCTGATTTTGTGAACTAATGGTGATGTTCTTACCCTGCATGTTTAACACAATCAAAACAAAATTGCTAGGATACAACCTCCATTTTTGTGTTCTGGTCCATTAATCAGCAAAAGTCATATTTAAAAAAAAAAAGTGGTATTCTCAGTGAAACTTGGAACTCTGTTCTTAGTGTGTGAGAGATACCACAAAAATAAGTTGTTCTCATAGCATTTTCCAAGACAACCAGCCAGTACAAAAGAAAGCAAACAGGAAGGGAAGAGATAATACTGGAGCGGTGAGAAAGCATAACAAGTTAGTGTATCTTTACTTGAAGATATGCAATTAATATTAGCGGCATGACAACACCTGCATATTCATATAAAAACAAAAATCAAGACACTAGATATATTGCTCAGGTTAAAATCATGATCTCATATGAAGATTTCCTGAATTACTAAATGTTCCCAGAAATTCTTTTTAAAAGAACTTAGATCTGGAAGACTGCTGAAAGGGCATAATTTGTCTGTCACTTCTTTTTACACTTTTACTGTGGGAGGACAAGGCTTCCTATTTATGATTATTTACACAAAAAAGTGACATTACATATTTTTATGTACTATGATGGTTATTGCATGCACAGCTAACATTTAACTTAATTTGCTGGTATTCAGTCCCACTTTTGTGAGTGAGGTTGGCAAGCAGGCAGTGTTCTCAGTCAAATGTCATGCACTCTATGCAAGTAATATTAAATTTTGTGGTTTTTCCTATGTTACAGGTAACCATTTTTGTGACCTTACGATAAAAATTCTGTCATCTTCAAAATGGAGACAGTGTACTTAAATCCCTGGGTTTACAACTAGAACTGCATGATTTCGTTGACTTAAAGTAAATCTATATATGATAATTACGATACGTGGTTTGAACACCTTGCATTAACACTGTTTCTCAAAGTGTAGGGTGAAGACCCAACATGGCTCAAAAGATGTATAAAATTAAGATGTGTAGGCCTTTACTATCATATTGCCAAGTTATGAGGGAGAATATTGGTGTCATTTTCCTGAATGGGGCTCAGCTTTGAAAACTGTGGGAAACAGGGCACTAAGAACAGCAAAAGCACTGCATGTCCACTTTGGTTCGAGTATAAATTTTATCTGTGAACCTGTAGGGACCGGAGCATGGGCAGTAAAACCTAATAGTTAGAGTCAGGGGCAAGAACCAGAGTCAAGAGTCAAGCCAAGAGCCAGAGCCAGTACCAGAGGCCAAGCCAGGGGTTGAATCTGGAGTCAGCATCAGACTACAGTGTAGAAGCAGGGATCGCGGGTGAGGCAGGAAAGCAAGTAGCAGGAACAGACGGGGTCTGGGATTTAGGAGGGCAGGAACAGAAATGCAGGGCTCAGGAATCAGACAAATTAGGTAGGATCCACAGCAGCACCCAGTCAGAGTTTCATTTAATTACTCAGACAACTTCCTGTGCCTCTTCCTGGTTTAAGTACTGTGTCACAGGCAATGGGTGGGACTGGACATCTCCTCCAATCAGAAGCTTTGTGGGTAGGCCCTCTGTGAGCTAGAGCTTCACTAGCCCCCTTCTCTTCTGGTTCAGGTGAGTTGCTGGGTGGTGGCCACAGGCTCAGCAGTGCCTGGGAAATCCGGGGGCCCGGGTTTGAGGTCCACAATCACTCACAGAACCTGACAAGGGTTAGGTTCAAACTTTGCTGGCAAAGAAATTTTTGCTCTGTGTTTTAAAATTGAGAATATACTGCATTTAAAATTGGACGCCTCAATGCTCCAAGTGACATGGCGCATATGATCAGGAGTAATCCATCTCACCGGAAGCCATCTTCCTTAGCACCACAGAGAAAGAAACTGTATTTTATTTATTGCATTCTCTGACCAAGATGGAAGTTAAAAAATGTAATTTCTAGATCTTTTCTCTGGCCAGTGCCTAATGCAGGCAACGGCTGTTAAGTTTATTATCTTCTCCAATTCTCCAAGTTACTGAGAACATTCTCATTTAGCTATATTTTGAAATACCTGTTGCTTTGTATATGAAGTATTATGGTGTCCCCATTTTTTGCATAATCTTTAATTCTGAGAGACTTAAATATAGAATTAGTTTAATTCAGTGTAATATTATTCCTCTACAAAAGATGATGTAAGAGCTGAAGTCAAAACAATTAACTTGCTGTTTTCAGAGATCCTTACCTCCTCCGTGGACTGCGGTTCTGGGAGAACTCTGAATCACTGTCCTTTGATGTTGGAGAACCCTTATATGTGTAAAAAACATCCTCTGTTTCTGTAATATACGCAATCTCATTTGTAAGGTTGTCTACAGATGAGTGTCGTGGTTTACGAATCTCATGACGTAGTCTAGGACTCCTCCTTACAGGAAACACATGAACACAAGTTGGTTGAGACAGAACCCTTTGTAAAGCTCTTTCAAAAGTAACTAATTCCATTCTATTGCAATACGTGCCCTGAGACCTAAATTACAGGACACAGTAATATTTTACTTCAGTGACAGAAAAATTGGTTGAAATGACACAAGCATAGGGCTGGAAGGGATGTTGAGATGTCATTAAATCTAGCACCCTGTGCTGAGACAGGACAAAGTAAAGCTGGACCATCCGTGACACGTGTTTGTCTAATCTGTTCTTCAGAACCTCCAATAATGGGGATTCTACAACCTCCCCCTGGAAGCCTATTCCAGTGCTTAACTATCCTTATGGTTAGAAAGTTTTTCATAATATCTAACCTAAATCTCTCTTGCTGCAGATTAAGCCCACTGCTACTACTACTACCTTCACAGGACATGGAGAACAATTGATTATCCTTTTTATAAACAGCCCATGACATATTTGAAGACTTATGTCTCCCCTTCAGTCTTCTTTTCTGAAAGCCAAACATGCCCAGTTTTTCAGCCTTTCCTCAGACATAAGGTTTTGTAAAACTTTTTAAATTTTTGCTGCTCTCCTCTGGATGCTCTTAATTTGTCCATATCTTTCCTAAAGTGTAGCACCCAGAATTAGACACAGTACTCCATCTGAGACCTCACCAGTACAGAACAGAACAGGATGATTACCTCCTGTATTTTACATACAATACTGCTGTTAATACACTGCAGAATGATATTAATGATCATTAAATATTTCTGAAAATCTTGTGACCATACAATGTACAAAGTGCAGCAAATAAACTGAAACCTGTAATACAAATGTGCTTTGACAAAGAAATGAACTGATTGACTTTTCCCTGAAATATGATATAACGATCAACTTCTTTGGTAGACTACTTCTTTTAAAATAACCTAGACTTTTAAAAACATATATAAAGACTATATTAAATTATATACTGTCCTGTTTTGTAAATGTACAACAAAATTGAGCAATTTGCCTTTATTTTTTGTAAGGTTGAAACTTTGTTTACCAAGTAGGGGTAACAGGAGGAGACCGAGAAGGCAGGCTTTTGGTCTCTAGATGTTCAACAGATAAAGATCTCCTCATAGTTGGGTTCCATACCATCCCACCTATGACTTTTCTGCAGTAGTGGCTGTTTACAGACCTGAAAGGAAATAACAATACCCTTTAAATAACTGTTTTATATAGAATACTAAAATCAGTTACATTTATGCAAATGTATTTCATGAGTACCAATTAAGCCTTTTGTAGTTTCAACAATTGAAAGGAAATGCTTTAAAACTCCCAACAGAAGAAAAACAATCATTTTCATTTCAGCAAGGTATCCTTGGTTCCTTAATTCATATCCAAATTGTTTTCTTTTTTATTACATTAGATTGATAGAAATTTCTTTCTTCCTTTGTTTTGCAAATCTGAATTCCAATCTAGTTAACAGATGTAATTATTGATAAATAATTTTAATGCCGTAATTATTTTATTAAAGCTAATAATGTGATGATTTCATCGTTGCCTAAATTCTCTCAAAAACTTTAGATTTTTTCTTCATTTAGGATCTGGTTCTGCAGCACTTATTTACATGTAATTCTCATTTAAGTGATTGGAAGCTGTATATATAAAAACTGATAGAATAGGGCAATGCGTATGTATATAATTAAGAGCCTCATTCTTAAATATGTTTGTTCAAATGTTATTCTATGGAACTTATACACACCAATTAGTGTAATTATTAGAAGGAGTAAGTTTTCATATGCTTATTAAAGCAATATTGGCACAATCAGCTTTAACACCCAATAATTTGAAGAAAAAAAGTGAGCATTATGGTGAATTATAGGACAGTCTTGTTTATGTGCTTTTTTATTTAATGTTATGTTAGCTAATGGTTAGCCACACATCTAATTTTTTATTTTTATCCTAGTTCCAGAAACAAGCACCATGCTCCACTGAAGTTGCTTATTAAGTCAACAGCCGCAAGCAGAGAGAGTAGCAGGAGACAGGTTGCTAATTTTTTTTAATTTCTTTGGTAACAACTGCTAAGATGATCGGCATTTAAGAGTGAGTCATGGAGAAAGTCCTACACTTCACATGAAAACTGTAGGTGGAGTGGAGGAGGTAAGTGATGTGAGGTCTGAGATCTGGAACCATGCCAAAAATAAGTAGCGCTCAAATGAAGGAGCAGAAAATGTAAGGTCCATTTTCTCATAAATGGTCATAGCAGATACATGTTATATGATTAGAAAGCACGGATTCCCAGCATTCCAACAACACATAGGATGGATTCATAGACTTTGTGATTTATGAGCTCTTCTACCTTAAAACTGTAACTGGTCAGCAGTTGTCCAGATCACAGTAGATCTAAATTCCTGCAGTAAGATCTTTAGATTTCTGCAATACATTTCCTGAACTCTATACATTATTTAGGTGTTTTCCTTCATTTTTATTTTCTGTTTTACCATTTCTTTCCCGTAAAATTCAGGAGGTCATATTGCAAAAAAATGTCTTTTTATTTTTCCTCTTTAGGGGACAATTTGTGATACGTAACAAAAAGACAGAGGGAAATAATTTTAAGTATGGAAGCAGCTCTCTTTTCCTGCTGTGATAGTTTATATCAGCTGAGACTCCACCCTCTGCTCTGTGCTGGACAGAACTTGCATGGCATGGATTAAGATTCGTAGCTTTGCAAAGCTACGAAGCCTGGAGCACACAATACTTATTTATGTATGCAGTGGATTGTTGGATATAAACAATTCTCCCTCATTCTAATAAAACAATTATGTTTAGTTTTCCATGATTTTTGTTCTCCAGGACACATGGTAGTTAAATACTTTAAGTTGGTCTATTGGGTGTTTTTAGTTCTGATCAAAGGATTTCTCATCTTTGGTTTTAAACTTTATGTCAAAGTTGACCTGAATGGAAGTGGAACTGAATGTATCCCATTCTCATATTCATAGATTCCAAGGCCAGAAGGGACCACTGTGATCATCTCACCTGACCTCCTATATAACACTGGCCATAGAACTTCCCTAAAATAATTCCTAGAGCAGATCTTTTAGAAAAACATCTAGTCTGGATCTCAAAAAAGATCTCAATCTAGTTAAGATATTCCATCATCCTGTTTGATTTGAAGACCTGCATGAAAATGGAGGAATGGGGGATATTGAGGGTGTGTGTTTGGAGTATTTTTGTTTTAGAACCATGCTCATTTGCTAGGATGGGGCTAATCTCCTTTAGAACCCATGGCTATTATCCATTTTTAAAAGTTTGTGTGCTCACCTTGTTACTGAAACTGAAGCCATGTGTACTGTAATTGTTCTGGCTCAAATCCCAGAATGATAAGAGTTCCTGTAGCTAGTCTACTATCTTAGACAAAGGCCATGTGATTGGCAACAGTTCATTCTTTGGGCAAAAAACAACAAATCTAACTTTAACTGAAATAAGTTCATTTAATAAAGTCCTTTAAAGCTGACAAAATAATAATTACTTAGCCAGATAGCAGAAATCTCTAGTTTTTTTTCATATTCAATGTATTGATGGAAATCAAGGAGTGTTTACTCTTGAAAAGGAGAAGGCAGCCTTCTTAAAATATATAGTAAGGCTTTTAATGAGTGTGCTTTGTTGAAGTATAGAACCCATCACGTCAAGACCACACAAGACTGCCAACAGCGTCCGGGAGAAGTGGAAAATATTTTAAATTTACACACGCAGTGTCAGGAAAAAGATGGAGAGAGGGCTCACTTTGTCAAAATCCTCCAACTTCTAAGAAAGACTCCTCAAACTTCCCAAGGAAGAGTGTTTGGTACAGTATCTAATAGGGCTGTCAAACTATTAAAAAAATTAATCATGATTAATCGCATTGTTAAACAATAATAGAATACCATTTATTTAAATATTTTTGATGTCTTCTACATTTTCAAATATATTGATTTCAATTACAACACAGAATACGAAGTGTACAGTGCTCACTTTATATTTATTTTTGATTATAAGTATTTGTGTTGTAAAAACAAAAAAAATAGTATTTTTCAATTCAGAGAATCATAGAAGATTAGGGTTGGGAAGAGACCTCAGGAGGTCATCGAGTCCAACCCCCTGCTCAAAGCAGGACCAACCCCAACTAAATCATCCCAGCCAGGGCTTTGTCAAGCCGGACTTAAAAACCTCTAAGGATGGAGATTCCGTAACCCATTCCAGTGCTTCACCACCCTCCAATACCAGCTACAAAAGTACCATGCCAACACATGTTCTCACTTTCAGGTGACATTGTAAACAAGAAGTGGGCAGCATTATCTTGTGGAAATGTAATCAGACTTAGTTGTCTGAGTGACTGGCTGCACAAGAAGTAGGACTGATTGGACTTGTAGGCTCTAAAGTTTTATATGGTTTTGTTTTGAGTGCAGTTAATGTAAAAAAAATCTACATTTGTAAGTTGCACTTTCACGATAAAGAGATTGCATTATGGTACTTGTATGAGGTGAACTGAAAAATACTACTTCTTTTGTTTATCATTTTTACAGTGCAAATATTTGTAATAAAAATAATATAAAGTGAGCACTGTACAATTTGTATTCTGTGTTGTAATTTAAATATATTTAAAAATGTAGAAAAACATTCAAAATAGTGAATACATTTCAATTTGTATTCTGTTTAACAGTGATTAAAACTGCGATTAATCCCAATTAATTTTTAATCACGATTAATTTTTCTAATCGCACGAGTTAACTGTGATGAATCGACACCACAAGTATCTAATAACTGACAAACAGCTCAGATTTAAAACACTTTATAACAAATGCTAAGAAAATGTTTTCTAGATTTTCAATTTTTTCTCCTAAATTGACTTTGATCATGAGTTCTCCAAAAGAAACTAAAGATTCTCTGAGTACCCTCAATCCTTGGATTTTCCTCTAAGTTTACTTGCCTTTACACCTCTGTAGCAATTGCAGCAGAAGATGGGTATATCAATTAAAAAAAATATAGGTCTTTTACCCTAAAATAAAAATTTCTTAAGAAAACATTTTTGCAATTAGATGCAATATGTACAGAAACTAGATCATATGGTTCTTTTCTCAGAGCAGGTATAACTGTGCAAACTAGGAAGATTTGAAAGATTTGGTTTTATTTTTTATATTTTTGTTTTAAACGGTTTTTTAAACTGTCTACAAAAATCCCTCCTTAAGCTACATAAGCTTAAAATGTGCAATAGCAGTTACTTTCAAATACATTTATATATTTGTTTGAGTATCTTCTATGAATACAATCCCAGACAGCCTAATTTATGATGTTTTTATTCTACTGGCTATCAAATTACATAGTTTTCCACTGGGTGAGAGATTGGAGAGCTGCCCTCCCTGTAAGTACTAAATAAACTGTACATGATATAACTATCAGTATTTAGAGTAGCAATTTAGAAAAGGTATAGATTTTATATATATAGTACTTCTGATGTCCATGGTGAATGAAAGGCAACCATTTGTACTATGCTGTGCTGTCCTTTATGGTTTTAACAGTGACGTAAGAAGTTTCACTCCAGGCCAGTGAACGTGGAAGTCAAATTCCTCTGGAAAGGTCAACAGGAGAGTGACATTTTCTTGCTGTTTAATGAAGATTTCTGTAAACTGCCTTGCCAGATCATCAACCTGTTTTTGTGAATTTTCTTCTTGTTATACACACACAAAATCTTATATATATAAGTATCTCTACAGTGCATCATCCTGTTATGCTTTTCATTACAAGACTCCTCACGAGTAAGGAAGAAGGATTTGTCTCTTCATCAAATAAATTCTCGAGAAGCTCAATCTGTAGCCTTAATACTTATGTTCTAGAAGTACCATGGAGACATTATTAATCCCCTTAGAAAGACAGACGAACAGTACATTTTCAGATACTGATGCTTAAACTGTACCTGCAAATTAGAACCACGGAGCACAACTCTTTCATATGGTATGATTTACATGCTAATGTCTGAAAAAATTGCCCCAAATCAGGAAAGGTGGAAAAAAAAAAAACCTATAAAACTAGACTCTTTCATTTCTTCAAAAAATTAGCAGCCAGCAGGTCCTGCTGCTCGCTCACTACAGAGAGTTGAAACTTCCCATCTTTACATAGTTATACAGAATTTAGAAGAGCTTGTGTTGCAGCAGCTCCTGACCCACCAATGTTCCAAATGCTTAAATATGTTTTGCATTGCATCGCTTTTTGTTCAAAAAAATCTCTTCCAGCTATACTTATTTCCTAATTATTTGAAAACACTAATTCCTTTGGTAATAGAATCCAAAGTATTAGAGTAAATCCTAATGTATTATAAAAGATTAATTGAAAACAGATTCTTGAACATTTAATGTAGTCATATTTATTGTAGAGCATGATACAGATTTGAGTTTAAAACTCAAACCAATTTTGAATTATGCAGGCTTCGTTATTGTATTTTTCTGTCTACTCTTTTTTTTATGAATGTTAAAAATAACAGTATTGTAAAAAAGCTTTCTTACCTCTGCTATTAACATAACTGGAGATTATTAAAACTAAATGTAAATTTTTCATCTTTAAAACTGCTTATTTCTGTCAACTTAGAAAGGGAAAACAGACAAGTCCGTTTCGCAAAAATATTTTGTCATTAGTTTCATGTCACTTTACTTTCTGGTTCTCTTATACCTTTGTACACAGCTGAACTATGCGGATTTTAAACCACCCTAGTGGACCAGGTTTAAATCCAAATAAAGAACTTTTTTTTTGTTTTATTTTTAATTTAATGGCATGAAATATTTCTATAAAATGAGGTTCCATAATAAGGATACCATGCTACAATTCTATGCCTGTTTCTGCCTGAAGATCTCAAAATGCTCTGCAAACAACAAAACTTCAAGAACTATCCTGTGAGGAATTAAGTTTCTCTTTATTTTACAGTTGGGAAAACACACACAGTGCGGTTCAGTGATTTACTCAAAATTACCTACCAAGTCTCTGATAGTACTGGAAACAGGATTCAACTAACCAACTACAGTCCTGAACTTTCAACTTTGTACAAGACTTGAAAATGAATTTTCAAATTAATTAGAAAGTCACATCTTTAGGCACTGTACTCACTTTGTTGGGTTTCTAGAACCAAAGGTCCAATAATGGGACAATATCTTTCTTTCATGAGGTAGTGATGACTTTGTCTGAAAAAACGTGTGATGCTCTACACAAGATTTCCATAGATTTTTGCATGCTCTGTAATTTAGCATGTTGAAGGCAACTATATGTTCTCTGGATTCATTCTAGAATAACAAACACATTATGTATCAGTACAGAATATGCAGATTGGACATATTAAGAAAAAGATTTAAAAATCAAGTAAAGCTAACAGGCAATTTACAACTAAAAGTAATTTTAAACTGATAAGTCATCAGTAAGTGCAAAGAATCAACAGAATAAAATAAAATTGATGTCTCCGTAGACTATTTTCAAGTGGTAAAACACTCATTGATGGAGAACCAATCTGAAATGTCAAAGAAGTGTTATAATCACTTTTCTGATCACACTTTACGAAGTTAAATATCATTGACAAAACTGTGGAGTCTGCTTAAGTTATCAGACTGCTCAGATGTCAGTTAAAATATCAGATCTTCAAACAATGATCTTTCCAAAACTAAAGACAAAAATCTTTCACTTGAGTTTTATATGCCTACATTGTTTAGGGAAAAACAAAAATTCAATGGGGAGTACATTCTAACAGACGATTTGTTGAGAACTAACCCAAATCAAACTCAAAACAGTTCTTAAGTTACTTGGGATAGCATCTACTTAAGATATAGAGACTTCCCAAAAAGCATATTACAGAAGCTGACAGCACTGACCATGGTACTGACCACTGTAAACAAGGCTATCACCACCATATCACTGTTGTGTTAATTTCAATGAAATAAATAGGTCCAGAGAGTCAGAGGTGCTAACATAACCCTGTCATTCCACAAAACTAAACAGTTAAACAAGGCTCAGGGTTTTGTGTAGACACACCTTGGTTTGCTTAGTTCCATGGCAACAATCCACCACTAAAAATCTTTTACATTTTTTTATTAAAGATACAGAAAAAGGGGGGGAGGGAACAATTAAAGCCCTTAAAATATAAAGTATTAAATAATGTTTTCATTTTTACAATATTTCTTGTCCCCTTTCCCTTTAGCTGTAGAAAGATTTTATAAGGAAACATTTCCCCTCCCCCACTCCATTTAATAGCCTTTTAGGCTAGATGATATTAAAGATGACAATAACTGTCCTTTTTGGGGAAAAGAGAAATAATTGAGATGGGCTGGAGATGCTGTTGTTGTTTAAGCTTGATGTTGCTTTTCCGAAGGCAGAATAAGACCAACAGAGAGAGAGAGAGAGAAAAAAGAACAGCAAAGACAGAAAATGCAGTTTTCTTTGGTGCTGCCTCTTACTTGCAACCTTGCTTCCAGAGAAACACAGGCACAACACACAGTCTTATCAGCCACTTTGAAACCTAGCAAACGTACGCCAGCTTCTGGCTGTTTAACATGTTGCTTTTAGCAGTGTCTCTGATCATAGGTTCTCAGCAGTTCTGCAAAAGATGCAGTCTTGCTGACTAAGCCAGACTCTTACTAAACACAAGGCAAAAAGAGAGAGAGAGAGAAAGAAAAGGAAGGAAAGGAAAAGGACGCACAACAAAGAGGGTGACAGCAGGAACTTAAGTCTCACATTCCAGGTGCTGTTAGGACTCAGCCAAGTCTGGTAGAGGTGGTAATGTCTTCAGTTCCCTCTCTTTGATTCAGTCTGGTCACAATGCCTTTCACAATCAGGACAATAAAGAACCAACAGTTTCTTAGTGGATCCCTCAGTCCCAGCAGATGGTCGGGGTGGCAGTCATGATGGTAAAGCTCATTTCTTCCAGTTCACCCATCCCACCTAGTGTCATGATTTCCCCCGAAGTCTCTTTTAAAGACTCCCAAAAGGGGTGATGGCTGGAAAAGCTCACAGCTCCATTATTTTGTGCCCCAATTAGGTCTAATTTCCCACACACCAGTTTTGATCTATTAATTTCCAATTCTATCTTTTGTTTATAGTCATGATCTTTACACAGTCCTTGGGTGGTATCAGTAGAGTTTTGTTTGGACTAATCTAATCTTTTTATTTCCCTTTTGTACCTTCTTCTATCAGCATTTATTGTTATAAATTATTCTGACATTTTATAGGCACCTTTCACCCGCTTTCCAACAATTGAGTTCATAACTGGAGTAGACCCAAATTCTTAAAACATCATCTACCAGCTAAAACACATACAGAGAGCCAACATTTCACAACTACTATTTGTTAAATACCACATACGTTAATCAATCACTTTATTTGTAACAAACCATACTTATGCAACCCTATTAGGACATCTCCTTGAGAAAGGTGAGCAGGATTTGGCACTTTGTTTGTGGATATTTTAAATGGTAATCTGTTTTATAGTTAGTCTAACATGCATCTTTCCTCATATATATTTTAAAACATTTAACATGGATCTGTTTATACAAGAAAAGAATAATGTACTTGTTTTTCAACTTTGGTCATTCATACTGGAACTAAAACGGTATTTGTTGATCATGGATATTTCTATTCGAGTGCTTACACTGAAACAAACAACTTTTAAAATACGTGTTGTGAAGATTTGGAGGGAAATTTTTGCCATGTATAAAAAGTATACAGTATCAAAAGATTTAACAGCAACTGGCATTTCTTAGTATCCTGCTGATTGCTCACTTGCAATACGGGTTAAAAATGTTTAAACCGACATACTTGTTCAAAACACGACCAATGCAGGGAAAAATTGGAAACAATTCTGTTCAGCTGTAATACTAATTTTTAGCCATAAGAATTTGTTAACTTGAACATTTCAATTTAACTTTATGCTAAAAACGTATGGTTTACAGGCCAGGGATGAAATTTACCTAGTATTTCCTACTTGAATTTTTGCTGGACAAGAGAAAGCGTTTGCAGTCCATCACCGATAACTTTGAAAAGCTCCCTTTGTGTGCTGCAAATTCACATGCTTGCTCTTGTCTCATTTTGGAAGGCTTGAGGATGATCCAGTCAACTTTTTAAAAATTATCAATGAAAAAAATGTTTAATGGAGAAAAAGACTTTTTGCTCACCAAGAGCACTATCCTCCGAAGGGATCTACAGTCACTGACCATTAAACCCATGCAGAATCCTACTAAGTCAAAGGAACTACAAGTGGATGTAGGGGCCTATGTTTATGATCCCTTTACAAGATCAGACTCTAGCACCCTTGGATTTCAATAGTTCACAATTTGTGAGGCCTGTAGTGTCAATTAGAGAGGTTTGTGGACTGAATGCTGGGGTAATGAAAGTAACGGCGGGCTCCCAGGAGTTAATTGGGAGTACCCTGTAATTCCAAAACCTACACAGACCCAGCAGTCAGTAATGTGATTAATCAAGTGATGCCTCTAACAATTAGAGAAGATTTGCAGATGTGTTGTTTACAGAATAGCAAATTAGTGAAATTTTAATATATGTAAAAATAGAGCTACATTGGCTAGTGTTCAGTAAGCAACAAACAAGTTGGATAAAACTTTTCACTTTTTTGAAGCATTTAAAATTTTTGCAGGTAAACAAGCATGGCTTCTACTCCCAGCATTGCATCTTACAGCTTCCACTAAACCCAAATGTCAAAGCTGCGCTTTAGTAGCATCAGTCACTATATGATTAATCAATTCCTTCCCCATCCTCTGATCAGCTCTTCAGTAAAATGAGAAGTGTTAGATATTCCCTGCTGAACAACTGATCAGCAAAAGGAGGAAAGAACTGATGAGTAGCTGTTTCTCCAAAACAGCTGGCATGGGAAAAAACACACAAAGAGTAAGAAGAGAAAAAGTACAGAAAAGGAAAAAGGAGGACGACTCGGGATTAAGATGAGTCATGAATCAACAGGCTTGAAGTGCATAAAATGTGTTAAATGAGCACGTATTCATGGCCTTTGAGCACCTTCTCCAGATTTTCAAGAAATACCATCCATCTAAATATTGCAATGGCAAAGCCTGAGATGTTGTAGCAACATCATGATCCATAAAGAAACCTTACTCATGAAGCCTTAGGTGGTTTTTGGAATCTACTCCTTGCTGTGCTTTCCCCATCCATCTTGGTCTTTCCTTCTCCTCCCAATCTCCTGTTTTTCCTCTCAGTCTTATTTAACCCTTTCCTTCTGAACTCTGAAATGAAGGGCTGATACATCCCAAGACCAAAATATACTCAGCCACCTCCCCTCAAAGCCCACCTGAGCCACCTGTTATTCCGGAGAAGGCCAATGGCAGCCTAATTGTCCCACCTGCATTGGAAAAACAGGGTCTTCCAGGTAAGCATACCCTCTCATTGAGAAACAGAGTAATAGGAGAGCAAGCCATATCAGTGGGCTGCAGAATTGGCTGCTTTATGTCCCCCTTCACTTGTGACCTACATATATATTTGACAACAATGATACATCTGGAGAGGAGACTTAACAGTGCACCTGGTTTGCTTTGTCATATAAACAGAGGAAGACAAAGGTTACACAGCTGGTCCTATTTTCCTTAAGATTTTGTGGATCTTTAAGTGTGATGCCATTTGCATTACTATGATCATTGTGCATTGTTATGAAACACAAGGAAATGATGACTGAAGAGATGTGGATAGTTATAAATCACAGCTTTCAAACTGTCATTTTTCAACAAGATAAACAGCTTCTCAACAGAATGAACTTTGAGAACACTGCCCTTTTCAAAGTTGATGCAGCTCTCTTGAATGTGTAAATTAACTTTTTTGACAGGAGTAAAGAACTCTTTGTGTAGTGAACAAATATGTTTAAAGTGATATCTACTTCTAGAACTGATGAAATACTAAAAAAATGCATTTGTTCAAGTGCCAACTGGTTGCTCAGTTTGACCACATTCATTTCTTTTATTATTCCCTATTTGTAAACATTAACACAAAGGGGATTTTGTTCATGTGACTGTTTTGGGAACTGCTGCTATTCATATATATGCTAGTATTCATCTGCAAACAAGAATATTCATAAGTTAACAGAGAATTCACTGTTCATTATTTGGTATTTCAGTCATCCAATCAGGGAACAGAAACAATACTTTGTGACTTCAGTGACCTATCACTCACCGCAAATTATTCAGAGCGAATAAGTGAACAGTTGGCAACCAACCTTAAGTTGAAATTTATTTACATAAACCATTGATAAATATTTGCAAATAAGATATTAGTAGAAATTGTAGAATTAGTAGAAACTAATTAGTAGAAATAGTTTGCAAACTACTGGACATCCATCTTTGGTAGGCTTTGAGTCTCCCCTCTCCTTCTCCCAAAAATAAAGCAGCTAAATTTGGGAGCCCTGTGCACCCTCTGAAGTGGTGTGCCAACCACACTTATGGGTCCCACTTGGTATGCAGAGGCACAACATATCCTTATTTATTTATTAGAGGCCTTAAGAGCACAGAATGCCTCCCCATAGCCTCTGACACTCTGTGTAAGATCTCTACCACTGTTCAATTTAAAAATAAGGAGAACACTACCTCCCCTGGGCATGAGAAAGTTCCCTTCCTTGTACTACCTGCTGTTCTGCCATTCTGCAGGGACCTACCTGGGGCCACTCAGCCACACACGAACACATTATTCAACCTTATCTTTAAAACAACAACCACCACCCTGCAGTCATCCCCCTTTCTAAACAGCCCAAAGTCAGACAGAATGCTACATCAAATCACCAGTTTTTTTCCCTATTTGTTTCCCCAAAGAGACAGGTGTTTGAGAGCCTCTGAAGACTTTTCACTTAGTAATGAGCCTGAGACAACTTTTCCAGGATAACAACTGTCATTTCTTTTTATATTTGATCAGGATTAGGATTACAGTAATTACAAGAAGATGTCCATATTTGTCTCCTTTAACATTTTGGGTGCAGATGGAAGACACTCCCAAATTTAAATATAACTATGACATGGGAAAATTTACAGCCTTAGTTGTTAAAAAGCTTGTTTATTTTTCACTGAAACAGAATCCACACATGCAAATATCTTCAAAAATATTCAGACTACACATTACTAAGTATGGATGTCTATATTTTATGTTATAGTCCAGGGGTTGGCAACCTTTCAGAAGTGGTGTGCTGAGTCTTCATTTATTCACTTTAATTTAAGGTTTCATGTGCCGGTAATACATTTTAATATTTGTTAGAAGGTCTCTCTCTCTCTATAAAAGTCTCTATATTATATAACTAAACTATTGTTGTACTGTAAAATAAACAAGGTTTTCAAAACGTTTAAGAAGCTTCATTTAAAATTAAATTAAAATGTTGATCTTATGCCACCAGCCCGCTCAGCCTGCTTCTGGTCTGGGGTTCCGCTCACCTAGGCCAGCAGCGGGCTGAGTGGGGCCTGTGGCCAGGGCCCTGGCTGGCAAGGGGCCAGCAGCCAGAAGCCCAGACCAACAGTGGGCTGTGCGGGGCCAGTGGCTGGGACCCCAGACCAGCAGTGAGCTGAGTGGCTCAGCCCGCTGCCACTCAGGAGTTCCATCCGCCGGCTCCTGGACCCGCTCAGCCCACTGCCAGTCTGGGGTTCCTGCCCTGCCCACATACAGTTGGTACCTACCTTCTCCCTGGTTCTGGCCCATTCTCTTCCTCTCTCTCTGCACTGAGCTGAGGGTGGGAGTGCACTGAGCACAGGGCTGGGGGTGAAGGAGCAGGCTGCAGGTTGGGGTGTAGGGTCTGGCCAGGAGCTAGAATGAGGGAGGGGGCTCAGGGTTGGGGCAGGAGGTTTGGGTGTGGAGAGCTTACCTGGGCAGCTCCCATTTGGTGAGGGGGTGCAGGTCGGAATGTGGGGGGGGGTGCAGGAGCCCCCGTTTGGTACTCAGGGTGGGAGTGGGGATGTGTGGGGTGCAAGAGTCAGGATGTGGGGGGTGCATGGTGTGGGGGGTACAAGAGTCAGGGCAGAGGGCTGGGGGCCTGTGAGGGGGGTGCAGGTGTCAGGGCATCAGGTGTGGGGGGCTTGGGTATGTGTGGGGGTGCCAGAGTCAGCGCTTGAGTCGTGGGGGGCGGTGAAGGAGTCAAGCAGAGGGCTGGGTGTGCGTGAGGGGGGTACAGGGCTCAGGGCAGGAGTCTGGGGGGTGTGCGGGGCTGCAGGGCTCAGGGCAGAGGGCTGGGTGTGTGTGGGGGGGGGTTGTGGGGTGCTCACGGCACCCCCACCTTCTCCAAGGCCCTGCCCCTGCTTCTTCTCTGCCTCTGCCGGGAGCAGCGAGCACACTGACCCCGCTCCTCCCTCACCCCCTCACAAGGGCCATCAGCTGATCCGCCGGCAGGGAGGGACGGAGAGGAGGAGGGGCAGGAACCCAGCACACTGCGGGAAGAGGCAGGGGAGCCGGCAGGACCAAGCTTCTGCCCCCTGCCCCTTTCCCCCTACCCCCACAGAAGGGAGCAGGAGGCGGAGAAGAGAGGGCCGGGCAGGATTTTAATGGCATGCTGCTGCTGCCCCGGCAGGCAGCAACGTGCCATTAAAAATGGGCTCGCGTGCCGTCTTTGGCATGCGTGCCATAGGTTGCTGACCCCTGTTATAGTCTAACTAATTAGCTTCCCACCTGACCCCACCCCCAAAAAAAGATTGAATAGCTTCTCCACTGACTTAGAGGAAACAGCTAGATCAAAATATACTAATTAGAATCTATTATCAGCTGCAGTACTGTTTCTTTGCCACTGTGTGAGCTTCAAGAAAAATACCTTATAAAGAAAACTTGTAGTGAGCAATGTATTCTGACTTCAATTATTTTAACTATCTCCATGTATACCATCCAATTTTGCCAATTTAGACACTACTGTATAATTACTGTACTGCGGAAGGCACTCATTATCTGCTTTATCTCCAGATCTTTCAGTTGCCATTTTTTCCCCATAATGCATCCCCTACCACTTTTCAACTTTGAGTCCCATGGGGAAAAGAAGGTATCTGGGAGAATGGAGGGCAGCAGTGCCCAACATTGTGTGTCCTGCAGTGCTGTCTTCTCCCTCCATGCCCTCTTTGAAAGACACTCAGCTACAGAGTGGCTCATCTGCACGTAGGGTACATCTACTCAGCAGCTGAGAGATGTAATTCCCAGCTTGGGTAGACATAGCTGGGGCTAGCATGCTAAAAATAGCAGTGTGGCTCTGGCAACACAGACAAGTGGTGGATAGGACTAGCCGTCTGAGTATGTACCCAGACAGTCAGAAGAGATTGTATTTGGACCACTAGCCCAAGTCACCACTTGTGCCACCACAACCAGGTCGGGTAGACTAACCATTAGAGAAGATTCTGCAGGCAGCTGGCCAGCAGGTGGAGTATCTGAGAAAAGGGCAGCAAGACACTGGTAATCTGATGGAAAGTGTCAGGCAGCTGAATGTGAGTGAACGGAGGAAGATATCCTCTGAAGAAGATCCCCTCTGTAGTCCCCCCGACCCCTCACACCTCCAAAAATACTAAAATGAAGTACTGTTGGTATGGGGGGAAGGACAACAATTAAACTTGAGGGGGTGGGGATAAGAATGGGGAGAAAGGGGACGCTGGGGAAAAGGTGACAGCAGATGGGAGCCAGAGAGAGTGGAGGAAGGAAAGGGGAAACTTAATGGGTAGAGCCATATGGAGCAACCCAGTAAGGACAGAGAGCATTGTCAAACCAACTTCCTCTGCCACTGAAATTTAAGGCTAAAATTACTACCCTGGTTCCTTTCACAACAAGTCAAAAGAATTTACAGAATACTGATTAAAAATTTGATAAATGAAATGGGAAAATAAACGTTGAACTACTTACATGTTTTTGCCGTTGCTGTATAAAAAATTTTTTCCTTTTAAAGGAAATTTTTAATATGTTCATCCTAAAAAAGAAAGAAAATACACTAAGAAACAACCCATAAAAATAGAGTAAAACAATCAAAGAAAAAGTGACACAACAAATGTTTATAATGCCCATCAGTCTTAAAAGATCCTGAAGTACATTATAAAATTACAGATTCATGACTAATAAAATGCAACCACCTCTTGGATGAAGATTAGCAGCTAACTGACACACACCCCCACACCCACCACAGGAGCAAGAGAGAGGATCAGTAACTTTGGCCAGTGGAGAGCATCTTTTAAAAATCATTATTCAATAGTTACTCTGTAAGACTTGACTGTTGCATAAGCAGGAAGCCTCCTATGACAATTCTCACCTACGAAGCTGCATGATGTACTTGCAGCAAAGACGCAATGGAATCAGTTTGTCCTCTTCATTGTCTGCACACAGTTCATGACACTGAGTTCATGTAACTAATGAACCATACTGTAACAATGGAGTACCAAGAGTAGGACTTTGATAACAGGACACATTAGGCCATATACAATATCAAAAATGTGTCTCCGAGCAGATGACAATATAAGTCATATTACTATTAGTAATAGTTGTGTCACATTATTGATAATATCATTTTGAATATGAAAAGGAAGCCACATTTTAGAGTTGTCTTTTGGAAAAACCCTATGCTACTGTACTGTTAAACACCCAGGAGAATAATTGGTGGTTATCCATTAAACATTCTAATCACATACTTATTTGCTTTTGTGGGATTAAGGGAGAGGAAGAGTGGTGGGAAGACACAGGTCTGAGTGCTAAGATTTTCCTTACATAGATTGATCAAATCTCTAATATTGTAATATCCTTACATATTTTATGTAGCATAGTTAAAAACAAACATGAGCTCTGATGTTCTAAATACACGTGTCAGTGGTGACTTCCCAAATTCTTTTATTATAGGCAGAGATGATAATAGTGGCTATAGTTAAAGTTTGTCTAACACTTTTCATATAAGCCTGATGATAACTGCTTAGCTGAATCAGGGTGAAATTTTCCATGATGGTTTTTGTCTCTTTTGTCTCAAGAATTTTTTCTTTTTAAGGTTTCAAAGTCATTCCATCGTTTCCAAGAAAAAGGCTATTGAAAAATAGGTAGTTTTGCCAATGTTAAAATTTCCAACTTTTGTTTTTGTTTTTTTGTTAAAACTCTCTAGTTCCTGCATGCTTGGGAGAAGAAATTTGATGAAGGGATATTTGGAGTTAGAGAGATGCCTTATCCCTAAGAAAATCCAGATTTGGCCAATTTATAAATCTGAAAACTGCCATTTGCATATGCACAGTAATACTTGTGAGAAGGCTGCTGCTAAAACCTCAGAATATTGTACCTTAACTGAGTATGCTGCAGACCCTTGGAGCTTCGCACATGACAATTGTACTGAGGATTTCTCCCAATCCTCACAGACTCTCCTACACTCCTGCCTTAGGAAACAGGACATTCAACTGTTTTATCGATAAGGTAACAGATTGCACAGTGTCACTTATGGCAGACCTGGAAATAGAATCTGTCTGCAATATGTCAAATCCCATCAACGGTGCCACACTGCCTTTCAGAAAGAATGTACCAAAACTGTGCTCTTGGCTGTATCATCAGAAACAGAGCGAGGAACAGAACCCAAGGATTCTGATTCTCAGCGTTTCTCTGCTGTCTAGCAAATACTTGTGTAAGCTACTGGAAAGTTTATGCCATGTCCCTCTCTACTGGCTAGGCTACAGAAAAAGTAAGAGCATAACACTGATACTATTTACCATTGGTTTAAGCAGTAGAAGTCTGTACTGTGTATTTAAAGGACATGGGTACCAAACCTGTTGATGACTTACAAGAGGTCAAGGTGGTTCCACATGGTGGAATTTGTTTTTTCAGTTTTGTTTTGTTTTTTAAATGAACAGGTGAAATTATTGTCTCCAGAGTATTTTTCTAATGTTTTATTTTATATAATACCTCGTTCTGAGCACTGAATCCATGTGCTACACAGGCTGTTCTCTCTCTGCTGCTGCACTCCTACTATGCTTGTTGACTCCCTCTCGTTACTCCTTCCTCTCCCCATAACCATCTCTCACTTTCAGGATGGTCTGTTCTTCAATGCCAGTGCTGCTTCTTTAGAGTACCACTCCAGCAGTTTAATTCAAGGCACAAAATACTTGTTAAAAGGACACAGATTTATTTAATCTCATAACCAGCAGCTGTGACATCACACAATTTTTTTAAGTGAATGGCAGTGAGTAACAGTAATCCATGAGACTTCCTTTTTTGTTTTTCTAGTGGATTATGCTGTCATTAGAAGACTTACATTTCATGAGTGCTCAAGCATGTCACATCCAGAATATAACCTGTATACAATGTAGTTGTTCACATTCTTATAGGTAACTCTTATAGGTATACAGTGGCTCCCTGTAAAGTTCACAAATTCAATAGGTTTTACTGCTTACTTTTAAAGTACACAGTAGTTTTGTACCACTACAGATGACAAATCTTTTGGCTCAGGTTTTTCCTTTCATTTACTGAGATCAGAAAAAATAAAATTATGTAGCTGGCAATAGAACCTCAAGTGTCTGTGCCAGAAGCTGGGACTCGACAACAGGGGATGGATCACTTGATAATTGCCTGGTCTGTTCATTCCCTCTGAGGCATCTGGCACTGTCGGAAGACAGGATACTAGGCTAGATGGAGCATTGGTCTGACCCAGTATGCCCATTCTTATGTCTTTAGAACTTCAGACTGAACAGAAATCCAAGGGAGTTCAACAAACTGATCAGTCTGTCCTGATACTTAAAGCTAACCTAAACAAAGATGCTACTTTAGACTTAAACTGAAAAGTTTCCTTAGCTGTCAGTTTGTTTTCTCATCCAGCAATCTGGAAGTTTCTGTGTATATCAAATCCACAATTCAAGCAGGAAGCCAATTAGATTTTGGGTAATAAGTAACCTTAATATAGTCCTGCAGGCTTCTCAGAAAAGCTATTCCAAAGTTGCAATTGTTTTCAAAGCGAAGGGACTGCGCACCCACAACAAAGAACAGAAACTGATCTGTTGCATCTTTGTAAGTGGTGATGTAATATATTCAGATTCTGGAGGAAATCTGTAGCTTGTGTGTTAGGAAAAAGCCTCTTTACTTGCAAAATAAGCCAATCTAATATGGAAATTGTTTGGAATCCCCTGGTGCCATTTAAGATTAGTTGTTTTTCCCCCCAAAAAATGGATCAAATCTGGGGGCAAGTCCAACTAAAGTTATTTTTCAGAAACATACTGACTCTCATTCAGACTCTCATTCAAACTATTCTGACTCTCATTCAGACTGACAAAGCTGTTAGATTTTTTTCTTATATAGTTTGTTTTGATCATCTCATTTTTCTTATATAGTTTGTTTTGATCATCTCATTTTTTGCCAAGATGGTATTTTTATTACATCTATCCTTCAGCACTTTTTGTCCACTTTGGCTACTATCACACAGCCAGGGCCAGATTTACACCTTGCGCATCCCTAGCCACAGCATCTTCAGTGCCTCCGTTGCCTACAGCAGACCTTCGTGTTGCACACAGTTTTAGAGAGGTATGGTGCCCCTGGAATGCCAGCACCCCCAGGCACGTGTCTACTGTGCCCAGGTGGAAATCCAGCCCGGTGGAAATCCAGCCCGGCACACAGCATCCTATTTTTGCTGTCTATTAATATTGCAGAATATTGTTCCAGAATTTTTTGAAAGAGCACTTTGATGGTGTTTGCTGCCACCTTGAGTTCAAAAAAGTTTGTGTCAAATCCTGATGAACTTATATCAGAAGAAGCCCTATTGACTTACAACAATGTTATTCAGAGTGTAAACTGAAGCAGGATTTAGCTTTTTATTAGAACTCTATCTCCTTTTCAGCCATTTGTCACTATATAACGTTTTCCCCACCCGAGTACCTCCACCCAATAGGCTTTGAAATCCTTTAAGTAAAATACATTGAGGGCATTATAGAAATTTATCATATTCTAGCTTTTTATAATATGTCTAAGCACACAAAATACATTCTGCATATATAGTATAGGGAGGTGGGGCACTGTATTTTCTCACAATGACTTGACTGTACCACATTGCTTATGAATGGCTGAGCCATGACTGATGTATCGATGCAATCAGAAATGAGACCAATAAAGCCTCTCTCCAATATATAAAAGCTTTTAGTTTGGTTTTTTTTTGTGTGGAAAGAGACTATTTTAGAGCATTTCTAGGATTGTTCCTACCAATTTCATACTTTCACCTGCAAATCCTGGTACCCCAGCTATTATGAGTCTAATTTATATAAGCCTGAAGACTCAAAGAATTACTTAAAATAGCTTTCTATACATAATGTCGAAATTCCAGTATCCAAACTTTCTGCACCTTGCAAGACTAGAAGTGCTGTAGAAAGCTGTGAATTATCCCTTTTCAATGGAATAACACTTTTGTTTCTAGACCTGAAAGATCACATGATATTGGACTTTATACATCACTGGTGTATAATATTTGCCTACCCAAGACCATCGGTTAGTAATTTTGGTAGAGCAAAAGTGTGAAAAGGAAGAATATCTGTCTGGCAGACCATCTTTAAAAATAGCAGCTGTTTAAAGGCATTTAAAGATTTGAATGGCTAGAATTAATAAAGGAGGACTAGAGGGCAGATTTCAAGAGAATCAGAGGTGCATAAAAAATCTATATTTTATCATGCACTAAATTATACACAGAAACACATACATCATCATGGTGTGGTATGAAGTTTGTACTGGCATGAATTTGGGATGGTTGCATTATCCCCATGTGAATTATGAAGGCCATACTATTCAAAAGATGATACATTTCAAAGAATGGAGAAAAAGGATAGAAATGAAGGAAATAAGCAAAAAAAAAAGATAGTTTAGGATAGACAATTTAAATTTATAATCTATTTTAGTGCTTTATTCTGTCAGACGTTCCTTAGGTTTGTGATAAAAAGATGGGGAGTCTAGAGTACTTAAGGTATATTAATGTTTCTGGTTATCTGTAGTTCCTGTAGTTAAATAACTGGAGGCAGAAGAGGACAATCTACAACTCACCACAATGTATTATTCTGTGAGGTCTGGGAGCTTTGCACCAACTTCTTTGGAAACTTTCCCCAGAAAACTGTTGTAAATTATGCCTAATACCATGCACCAGCAGCTAGGCACTGGTTCCACAATTGAGCAGGTTGACGGAAGTGCAAATAATCCCACTTTTACACAGAAGAGTACACAGAGGGTCAGTAAGTGGAGGAGTTCAAAAGAATCGTCTTTTGGACCCTCTCCAGAATCTTAAGGTCAGACATGTGTAAAACATTTCAATCGATTTGCATAGAGGTCAGCAACTCTGGAGTCTCCTTCCTAGACCAAGACGGGACTTTCCCGATCAAAAATGAATGCATATACTAGTGTTTTCAGCTTTACACAGCCATCAAAGTATCTTCCCCTTTGGAGATCCCAAACCTATAAGTCAATCCTGGATGATCTTGTAGACTTGTTTTATTCCTTTTTTGCTTGTTCATTTATCCCAGCTCCTCCTGAAAACTGCCAATAGTTGTCATTTTTGTTGGTTATTTCACAAAGTTCTTTCACAAAAGCAAATGCCATGCTTACCAAAATTCATAAAATTGCTGATCATCCACAATTAATTGCTGAGCTGTTTAGCAATATTAAAAAAATTAACCAGAGTCATTTGGGTCTAAGGACAGGGGATGTGGAGGGTCACCAGCATCCCAATCCTACAAACTCATATATGAGAGTAGTCTGCCTCTGAACTCTAACCGACTCCTTTAAACTCAGTGGTACTCATAGTCATGAATCTTTGTAGGATCAGGTCCCCAGTCCAGAGCTTTCATTTTAACCCAACCCCGGTGAGAACCATATACATATCACAAAAACTTAACCTATCCCCTTCTGTAATAGATTTTTCCTCTTTGGAATAAAGATCATGCCATGTGAAAATATTATTTAAAAATTTAAAACAGCAGTTGTAACTCTTGGTTACTAAAGGAAATAGAAACAAGTAACACTTACCAGGGATAGAAACTTGTGCAAATAAATTTTCTGTACACAGCAATACCTCCTGAAGCAATTCCAATCATCAAATCTAGATTATGTAGATCCTGAAAAAGAAAAATATTGTAAAAATACAGATGGCTATGAAATACATGTTCTTTCTGTGTGTGAATTCATTCATGGGTTTTCCATATACAAGTATAAAAAGACAACCCAAAAGGCTTACAATTCAAAGAGTAAGATTTCTGCACTATTTGTCCTAACTTTGTCAGACCTATAATGCAATATAAAAGTCTTGCTATTCAGAGAAGCATTATAATGTAATCTCATGCAATTGTGTTTAGCGCTGTCTGTGTCAGTAGGAGAGACTGCTGTAAGGCGACGGCGGGCAGTTGTGGGGTAGAGCTGTTGTCCCTGGTCAGTCAGTTAAATGTTCAAAGAATTTAGGAGCTTGGGCACCCAGCCTCCCAATACTTGACTGTTTGGGAGGACTTGAAAAAGAATTCCTCTCTCTGACTCCAGAAGGACCTACCAATTAGAAGCTAACAGAGAGTTCGCTGGATAAGAGATGACCCAAGCTCTCTATATAAAAGTGGGTTGGGACCACATACGTGTTGATATGCATAACTGGTCAAATTTACTGTCCATTATAGTGTCATGTTCTGGTGCACCAGATCAGGATTAAAGGTCCTAGACTTCTGGTCAAGGAGAAGAGGTATCCCAGCCTAAGAGTGAATTAATTTGTCAGAACTCCTTTCTTTTGGGCACCTGTTGCTGTTATTTTGATGGTGATAAAGGTGTTCCCAACATACATGAAATCCTGAAAAATCAATAGTATGTGTATGTTTCAACAGACTACTCTTGTATAAAATTCAAATATGTGCACAACAGGATGTGCAGGACTGAGGCCTTATAATGAATTTACTATATAAAGTACACCTCTACCCCAATATAACGCGATCCGATATAACACGAATTTGGATATAACGCGGTAAAGCAAAAATGGTTTTCTGTCCCATATACAACATTGGTTCTCAAACTGGGGGTCGCGACCTGGTTATGTGGGGGGTCGTGAGCCCTGACCACAGCGCGCGGCTGCAAGTTGCGAGCCTCAACCCCTGCACCGGGCTGTAAGCCCGGACCATGATGCATGGCTGCGAGCCCCGACCCCTGTGTAGAGCTGCGGGGCTGCGGGTCCCGACCCCGGCTTTGGGCCCTGACCCCGACAGGGAAGCACGGCTGCGAGCCCCGACCCCAGGCTGTGAACCCCGACACGGGCACGCGGCTGTAAGCCCTGACCCTGACAGGGGCATGCGGCTGCGAGCCCCGACCCCGGGCTTGATGTGAAGGACGACATCAGACGTGCCCTTTCTAAAAACAAGACCAAGAATAAAACTTCTTGCGTCAAATACTGTATTAATAACAGAAATGCTCGAGGCCAAAGCAAGTTCAATATAACGTGGTTTCACCTAAAATATGGTAAGATTTTTTGGCTCCCGAGGACCGCGTTATATTGGGGTAGAGGTGTAGTAGAATACGAGTGACAATCAAGAGGACATAATACTGGGATCATTAACCAGCTTTGATATTGCAGGATGTCCAACCTCCATGCACATTAACCATGATCTAGACACAAATTATTGTCTACAAGTAGAATCTGGATAAGTTACATAATAAATTTTAAGCTTATGATTTCAGCCAAACAACATTCCCTCTTTGTCCTGTGGTTCTCATCACTGATCTTAAATCTCATTAAAACCATATTTATGGAATTCTTTTTCATGGAGGGTGAAGTTATTCACACAGGAATTTCAGAATTACTGTGTATAAAGGAAAAATATCGCTTAGCCAAAGTTTTAGACGTTTCCTTTAAGTTCAGTATACAATTGTAATCCTTGACTTCCTAGCTCACTGTGATCTATGTATGTACTCATCTTATAATATACATATTTCTACAGGGAATTGAATATTTATGCCTAAATACAGATTTAGGTTCCTAACTTTAGGAACCCAATATTTAAAATGTTGGCTTTGGTTCAGGAGAGCAGAAATTTTATGACACACTTTTTAAAGTAATGCTGGATTCTCTTAAGAAAACTTTCAATAGCCTAAATGCTCCTCTAGATGGCTCTCTTGGCTCAGTTAGTATAAATATATTAGTATAGTATATATAGAGAGAGAGATGTGGGGACCTTAATCCCCAACTTCCACTTTTCCTGTACCATAACGACTCTGAGAATAAAATAGGTAGAATGTAATTGAACAAGACTCTGGCAGGATACAGAATGTATGTGAATAAATTATCTTTTCTATTACAAGTTTGTTAGAATATATAAAATATGAGAGTGAATAATTGCTGAACATTCTCTGCCACACACATTATCAATTCCTATGCCTCCTAACTCAACTATCGGGTAAACAGTACCATATTGTGCCAGATTTAGTATGTATTAGTAATTTATATTCCACTGCCAAGAGGAAAAGAAATACAAATCCTGTCTCTAAAGTGGTTAATAAAGAAAAAAGCGTAAATAAGATTGTCCACACAGTTTAACAGCTCTAAGCAGGAACAATTGACTTGTACACCAGGATTCAATCACCTTGCCTCTTTTAGGCTGATAAACATGATTACAGTGGCCCATTAAAAGCTAGCTTTGGAGAAAAAGTTGGGAAATCCCATAAGAGCTAACTGGGGAAAACGTTAGCAGAAATGACAAATTGATAACCATTGAACAGAGAAGAACTAAATTAATCCAGTTCCTCCAAATGGTGTGCCTGATCAAGTTTTGGGAGTATTTTTTATGCAGACGTAACCTCACACTGATATGATAATGAAATTGAAAACCTTCGAGACTAAACAAATCCAAGCATAATGACCAAGAACTGGCAACATAAGGGGTGGGGTGGGGAGGGAGAGATCCTCTCTGAGAGTATGTCTACACACCAGCTGGGAGCATATTTCTCAGCAAGGGTAAATGGACACATGCTAGCATGTTAAAAATAGCAGCACAGCCGGGGGTAGCACAGGTTCCAGCTCAGGCTAGCAGCCTTGGGGAGTACAAACCTGCCTGGACCCGCTGGATACATACCTGGTAGCTAGCCCAAGCCGCAGCCCATGTTATCCCCAAGGTATGCTACTATTTTTAGCACCTGTTAAGGTTGCCTGACACTTTCCATTATAAAACCCTATTCTAAGCTGCTTATAGCTTTGCCAAACTTTAACTAGAGAAACAAGGTAGGTGAGGTAATATCTTTTGTTGAAACAACTTCTACTGGTGGAAGGTACACACTTTCAAGCTATACAGAGCTCTTCCTCAGGTATGGGGAAGGAAGCAGAGTGTCTGAACTAAATACAAGTTGGGACAGATTGTTAAGGGATAATACATGTTGGAGACAGTCACTGGAAATGAAGTGTGTAACTGGGGGTTAGATGTTAGGCATAAAAGGTTTGAAGTGGGCAATTAAGGGCAGTAGGCAGCTAGTGTGCTACAAATTTCTGAACTGAAGAGGGTTCTTCCGGGGTATTTAGGTGCTAACAAATCTATGATGTGATCCACTTCTCTGGTGGAGCGGCCTTGTTTAGTGGCACTCAAAACAGCACCAGACCCTGCCAGAAAAACAGAAATAAAACCTGCAGACATATCTCCACTGCCATGATGATTAATACCCCTGTGACTGGGGTCCCAGTGGGGAGCCAGCCGAGGTCACTCAATTAGGGTGCAGAGTAACAGCCGCATTACTCTGTATTCGCAAAAAGAAAAGGAGGACTTGTGGCACCTTAGAGACTAACCAATTTATTTGAGCATAAGCTTTCGTGAGCTACAGCTCACTTCATCGGATGCATACTGTGGAAAGTACAGAAGATCTTTTTATACACACAAACCATGAAAAAATGGTTGTTTACCACTACAAAAGGTTTTCTTTCCCCCCACACCCCACTCTCCTGCTGGTAATAGCTTATCTAAAGTGATCACTCTCCTTACAATGTGTATGTTAATCAAGTTGGGCCATTTCCAGCACAAATCCAGGTTTTCTCCTCACCCCCCCCCCCAAACCCACTCCCCTGTTGGTAATAGCTTATCTAAAGTAATCACTCTCCTTACAATGTGTATGATAATCAATGTGGACCATTTCCAGCACAAATCCAGGGTTTAACAAGAATATCGGGGGGTGGGGGGTTAGGAAAAAACAAGGGGTGTGAACTGTGAAGAATGGAGCAGACAAACCCCAAAGCTGGTGGATAAATCAATACTTAGATTTACCGAGCCAGCACTAACAGCTTCTGTTATACCTCACTGGTTACTCAGCATTCCAAACAACACAGTTCCCTTGAAGTAACCCAGTCTCAGGCCTCCATCCAGATACACAAGTCAAATATGATGAAGATTTCTCAAAATCTTACTTCATCATACAAAAGAAAAGGTTCTACCAATCCCAAAGGATTGGACACATTACCTCCAAGGTTAATGAATATTCCAGATCTTACCCAAATACATGCTACAGCCAATTCTTATTAATAAATTTTAGTTTAGTTAAAAGACAAAAGAGAGAGAATGGTTAAAAGATCAGTATACATATAGACCTGAGTTCAATTTTTGAGGTTCAGATTCATAGCAGAGATGGTGAGCTTTGTAGTTGCAAAGAGTTCTTTCAGAAATAGTCAACAGGTTATAGTCCAATGTTTATATTTCAGGGCAGTCCAGTCAGAATGGGGATCTCAGTCCTTGTGGCTTAGGCTTCCCCTGCATGAAACCTCAAGCAGATCCGAGATCAACAGGATCAGGACACAAGTGTCTTTTTATACAGTATTCTGCATCCACTTGACCACACAGCCCTGAGTAAACAATAGGCTTCTGATGTAACCTTCTGTTTTCTCAACACCACCAGAAATTGGTTATACAAATTAACACAGGGCAATTTATCCATTAGGCAGTCTATCACAAGCTTCAAAGAGACACATAGACAATGCCATTATTTCACCCAAGATTCATCTAAATGTTAATATTCCCTTTTGATCTCTGAATTAGTAGCTATCGTGACAGACAGGAACTGTCTGTTTACATGGGTAGCATCTAAGATACACACAATTAGTATCACTTCTAACAAT